GGGGAATGGGAAAAATGCACTCATAATTGCTCGGAAATCAAAGAAAAACCAAGTGTGTCTTTTTCTAGCTGCGAGAATTTGAAATTAGCGGGCTTGCAAATACACAAATATTTTGAATCGTTGGCTGTATCTGGAATTGAAAAAGCAGCCAGAACATAAAAAATCGAGCTTTTAAATGAGCGGAGACACAGACATCTCGCGGTTTTAAGGAGAATAGAACATTTTAAAAACATAGCACCGATCAGCATCGTTCTCCGCAAAAATTGCCGGACTTTGAATTCTTTCCAGCTAGCTAGAGGTGCAGCGGGGGGTTCAAAGATTCCATTAAAAAGGGCAATCATCCACCCTTCCCTCCTTCCCTTCCCTTCCCAAGGCCGTAACCCGCGAAAAGCATAGCCGTCCGTTGGAAGCAAACATATCATGTTAAATCATGGGAATCAACGGAATTCTATGTTTTGATACCAGAAGATAATATTGTTTCTAAAGGGATAGACGAACCCATGGGTAAAGGTTTTGCTAGCCATAGATTCGTGATTTCCGCGACACGCGACGCACGGTAAAATTTGGCCAAGACAGCAATGCTTCACGCAATTTGACGCAAGTCTCGCGCGTGGCGTGTCGCGATTGAGAGAAAATTTGGAGGTCCGCGCGTTGAGTGTCGCAGGTAGGAGAGCATTTAGAGACTCGCGCGTCACGTGTCGCGCGGACAAGAAAATTTACCAACCCGCGAATGTGCGTAAAACTAGATACCTTCACATCGCGTGTCGCGGGTAAGGCAAAATTCAGAACCCGCGCGTTACGCGTCGCGGGTAGAAGATAATCTAGAGAAAGGTGCGTCGCGTATTGTGGGTAGTAGAAATTTAGAGATGGGTTCGTACCGTTAGTTAGGTAGCGCGTGTCGTGGGCGCGAGAAACTCTTTAGAAAATTCCTAACTATGCAAAATTATAGCCAGCTCTTTCCTTCTTCATAATCGAAAAACCTTATCCTAAATTAATATAGAGACCCGAAGAACGGTGGGCCTCATGAAAATTGGCGGGGAGGTAGAGGGTGGGGGGCCGTGGGCCACCCCGAAATTGAGGACAATAAAACAAGGTCCCGAAACGTGTCAGGACGTCCGTTGCGTTTGGAAGAGGGCACGAATTGGAAAACAATCTTCTAACAAGCCCTAGCCAGTGCGGGCGGCCTGAAATAGATAATTTCCTGTCTATTATTGGGGGTGTGGGGGATATTTTTTAGATACCCAATTCAGCTTGCAATTTCTTTTAAATCAGCTTAACTCTAAAATTAAGGCAGATACGTGATAATTTAGATGCAGGAGGTAAGGAAAGGAGGAGAAAAGCCTTGATGACGAATTAGAAAGGGACGGCGGGGCAACGATTGCAATGGGTTTGGGCCCTTTCTCGTGTGGGGCCCAACCCATTCTCACACATCAACGCATCCTTAGCATTAAGCGCTTTTTGTTTCGACCGAAAATCAAAAAATATAGTAATAATAAGGTATATTTACTTATAAAAAATGGATATCGAAGCTTTAGAAATGCGCGAATTATCGACCTATCAGGTAAAAAAATTCGGAAAATCATTAAAACTAATTTTCAAAGAAGAGCCTGGGAAAGAACCGACACAAATTTCTAACGACAAGAATAAAACCATAAATACGGAAAGGGTTTATTTTACCAAATGGAGGTTTAAATCTTAGAATTGCTTGCAATCACGATCTGAAATCGCAAAAATCGAAAGCGGTTAAATTTTTTTTAAGAATTGGAAAAAGACGTAGCTAATTTCCAAAATCTGTAGCAACAACAAGTATACAAACAAAGTATAAAAAAGCACATATAGCTTGTAAAAAGTTAAATTTTCGTAAAGTAAAAATCGAAAAATCTTAAAAATAATTTTTTCATTAAACCTAACGGGAAACAACCGATTTTCAAGAACCTTCACAGCTTTAAAATTCTAAAAATCACTTTAAAAGCCCTACCCCCATCACTGCAGTCGATTGGGTACCCCCATTCCGACGTGCCCCCCTGGGTTCTCGGCTAATCCACCAAGGAAATTGGCGCCCAAAAAATGGAATGTCTACCCCCACCAAACACCCCAACCACCTTCCTGGCTACCGACACCATCTAACCATCCAAATCAAAATATATTAACATACTAGGAATACATCTAGCTCCTATTAACGTTTGAATGCTACCGGGTACGCTGCACCAACACCCCAGGATTTGCTTGCTTCTAATCCGACTCTTTCTGACACCCCGCGCGCGCAAATTTAATAGGTCAGCGACTCGGAAAAAGAGACCACGGATTACGTGTGCATGTCATTTGCAAGGTAATTTGGAAAAACATGGTAATTAGGTGCGGTATTAAAAATAATGGTGTTTTGTGCCTTGAAAATTAGCTTTTGATTTGATCGTTTGCGGCAGATTTAGCAAAGTATTGAAAACATGAGAAAGGATATGTAGTGAAAATGAGATGTTCGCTTTAAACGAAAAAATACGGTATAAAATGATAGGATAAATAATGTAAATGACCATTCTTAGGAAATCCATATCTCCAAAAAACGCATAGTGATGTCTTCCACGCCCATTTAGAGGTAATTTACTAACGTGGTTTAACCAGATAATGGTTACTTAACGGGGGGTCAAATAACGGCGTGGAAGCCAACCTTTTAACAAAATATAGTTATTATAACGAAGCGGAAGCGTTTAAAAAAATAATAGACGCCACACATCCATTCCGTATCTGGTGAGCAGCCCCCCCCAAACGGAGTGCAGCCGGGGGATAAATTGCGAATTTCTCGTGGAAATTCGAGACGTCCCCAGGCACGTGGCCGCTCGCCAAGATTTACGCCCCACCAGGCATTCATGATATTCAACACTCTTAAGCAGACATGACAATTCCGGGCGGCCGGGCCCCGGGGCCGGGCCTGTAATCTAATTTGCATGAAAAAATCCCCCGCTTCCGGGCCCCGGAAAAATATGCAAATTCGCGGGGCCGAGCCCGGGCCCAGCCGAACTTTTCCGGGGCCGGGCTCGGCCGATTCGGCTCGGCCCCGGAAACTAAAATAGCTCATTTGCGTCTAAATTCCGATGCTAAAATGCAAATTTGCAATGAAAATTTTAAGTGCGTTGGTCCAGTTAGGACATCGGTCTTGGTAAATTCATTGAACTTGTTTAATAATTCGTCCCAAATATCAAAGAGTACTAAAATACGGGTCTGAACCTGTTCTGATCTGGCTGGAGGTGTATGGCAACCTTGGAAAATAGATTTTTTTCGAATTTGCATGGATATTTTGACTGAAAGTGATTTACAACCGGGCTTTCTGATTAGCGTGCGGCCTTGCGGCCCCGGGCTCGGCCCCCATTTTGGCTTATCCCGGGGCCGGCGAGAAAAGCCGAGCCCCGGCCCCGCCGGAAGTGGGGCCGAGCCCCGTCGGCCCGGCCGCATGCAAATTTTTAGGGCCGCAAAAGCCCGGGGGCCGGGCCCGTTGCCATGTCTGCTCTTAAGGCATTTGAACGCCAATTGTACAGTAACGTAAGAAATCTAGATATTTTAGTAAGTTTTAGGTTCTTATGCAAAGCAGCAATTTTTTAATGCAACCATGCAACTCTGTACTTGTTTTGGCTTTTTTATACGCAAAAAAAATAAGTTAGGCAGATAAAAAAACAACATTAGAAATCGCCTAAAAAATTGCATACGAAAATTCGCATAAAATTTAAATACCAAAGGCTTGATCTACATTTGTTATGAATAGGCCAGCTTGAGCACAATCCGATAAAATCATAATCAAAGAATACCTAACCCCTCAAACACCTTAAATCCCCGTCGTTCCACGGCTCTGTTTTTTGCTTCCTCCCTCCTGGCCCGATTATTGTCCAACAATGGCCCTGATGCGGGCCCCCAAATTTCGTGCTCAAAAGCCGAAAAGGGCGCCCCCCAGAATTTTGTCTGGCTTCCTCCGCGGAATCGGAAAAAAAGCGGAAAGCCAAAGAATAGAAAACGAAAAAATTCGGAACTTTTGGAAATTGTGTTATACCGTGCTATTTTTAAAAATATTGTATATGGAAATATCGGTGAGCTGCTTTGTTAGAAAAAAAGCTCTAATTAAAGTGCTAATTTTTTTAAACAATAACTTTTACAGGGTGTCCCAAAAAAAACGAACCATCTGGCATTTCGCCGTGTTACATTCAATCGGCCCCAAATTTGGGCCAGAAGTGTATCAGACCCTAAATAACAACAATCCTGAATTTTAGCCCCGTAGCTACAGTCGTTCTCGAGTTATGCCAAAAACAAACTTTATTTTCCATTTTTCACAGGGTTTTCGTGGAATTAGACCCCCTAGACATTAAACGCAAAATTACCCAAGTTCTTAAGCGAAATTAGGGATTCGTAGCCGGAAGTCGATGCGAATCGATGTAAAGTCCAAAAAGATAGCCGAAAAAACTGTTCCGAATTCTCTGAAAAACAGTATTTTCGTTATAACTCGAGAAAGACTGTAGCTACGGGGCTAAAATTCAGGATTGTTGTTATTTAGGGTCTGATACACCTCTGGCCCAAATTTGGGACCGATTGGATCTAACACCGCGAAATGCCGGATGGTTCGTTTTTTTTGGGACACCCTGTATATGTCTTTTTTTGAGACCGGGTTTCGGCAGTGAAAGTGAAAGTGAAAAACATGAATGCCAGGTCTGGGTTGAAAAGCCGTGAAGCGGTTTTTCGAGCCTGGAATGCTGCTAAATAAAAACCCAACCGGAAGCTGCGCAGATTTCTAATTAAGCCGAAGACCCGGCAAGCGTGTGTTTGACACAAGCTTCAACCTGAAGCTGCCATTTCCAGACGCCGGCCTTGCAAGTAGCCCTCCGTCGCCCCCTCAAAAATGCATAAATCTCAGGATGGTGGTGGCGGGTGGCCCTCGTGCTTTATGTTTCTGCCCCCTAAAAAGATCTGTCCAAAGTGCGAGAAGAGAGAATCTGTTAAAGTCTATCAAAAGCAAATTTTTATTTTTCATACACAAAATCGCACGAAAGGATGAAGGTGGTAGATATTTGATCCTTGCTGACGACGAGGTTGAAGGAAATGATACTCAATGATGCCATTCCTAGACCGCCGCTTCCCTAAAAATATTTAATATTATTAAGCTGATGTATTAAATATATTTAAGGTACGTATTACTCACCAAACAAATAGCTCTTGCAGCTGAGATTGAATCTTCAATAGATCCCGAAACGAAGCGGTCAATCTCGATTGCTTCGGTTGGAGGATTTGTATCTTCTCTATAATTTAATATTTATACACTTTCTATACCTCCGATCCTACCTAATAAAAATATCACTCCAATGCACCAATCGCTTCCCAACCCCCGAAAATTCACGGCCAAATATCAGCGAATGAATTGGGTTTACGACATGGAGCCCCGCAATCTGAAATTTCCATTAATTCACGGATTTTAATAAAAAAATTACCGATTGCATATTCGAGATACTTGTCCCATCTATTAACCCGATATTTACGCAAATCTCTCGCTCTGCAGCCAGCTGGATTAGGAAGCCCTTCTGAAAAACAAGGTGGAAACCTTTAGATCGTCATGTTCAAAACCTCGGTCTGCTGCTTACGAAGACGATCCAGGAATGATGGCAGCCGTTTTCGAGGCCGATTCTCAACTTCCTCGCCAATTCCGGGGGAATCGTGACCCATTGGACTAACAGAATTTGATGCAATTTGAGATCCAGTTACCCACCGTACGTTCATAATTCTCATTCGTAGGCTAGGGGTTTGGATTGATTTTCCGCGAATGGCATCGCGTACTGAACCCCAGGAGAAGCGCCTGGGGTCACCGGATCTAAAACTGGATTTGGATTTGGGTCACCGTTACCCACCTGAATGCTGAAAAAGCCAACATGGCGCTTAAGGGGTGAAGGGAGGATTCTTCTTTCTAAAATTCGGGTGCATTTGAGGCTATGAGCGAGCTCAAACTCAAGTTCATTAAGTCTAAGTCCAAGCCCAAACCAAGTTCGAAAAGTGAAACCTAGGTTGAAGTCTAAGCCTAAACATAAGCCACCTTAAAAACCAACCTGCAAAACATACAGCCGTACCAATATCCCTGTTAATACAATTATTAAGCTATCCTGAGAAATCTTCATCGCCACCCGTACTTCGAATAATGCATTTCCCTAATAAATTGGTAAATTTACATAACAGTTTTTTGTCTTACCTGTGGATTTACAGCCCGAGCTTCAGTGACCAACGCATGGTGTATATCAACATCGATCGTGCGAAGAATCTGGAATCTGCATTTTTCAAAGGAATTTTTGATTCAAAAATTTTGTCCTCCACTCACTAAAGATAATTCCTCAGCGAGATCTTCTGGGTCATCGTGTTTTCGTAGTCGTTTCATTATAGAAATCTAAATATGATATTTTTTATTTGTGCCCATTTTTAGTCCGACCTGTACATAGTTTTTTGTTGAAGCTACAAGAGGCGGGGCTGGAACGGCCAAGGTAGATATCAAAAAATCAAGGCACTGGTATTTTCTAAATACCAGCTTATTAATACAAAAATTAAAACTTACCGGCAGGAGTTACACATCGTACTTTTTATATTTAATTCATTAGCATCTTTGAGCGGTGGTAAATGATATGGTGAGCAATTGATAGAGGGTTGATCGTTAGGAGAAGCGGGAAAAGCCGAACCTCGATGAGCGTTTCTAAACTTTTTATTGATTTTAATAGTTCATACCAACCGTGGCGAATTCCTGAGGCTTGGAATTTGTTCAGCAGCTAACTGTTGCTCGTTGTTAGCTCGGCAAATAGCTGTACCCATACATGCAAAAATGGCAACCCCTGAAATAAGGTGGCTTAGGATGCTTTAAGGACCCTACTATCATAAGTTGTCAGGGTTTCCGTGTAACCAATAATCAAATCGCAGCCACGTCTTCTGGCATTTCGGAATAGTTCGTACCGTAGTTCTTGCCAGATCCTAAGCAAAAATAATTATAATCAAATTTCCGGTAAATACTTTCGACGATATCCATCACTTTCATCCTCATTTTCGAGCAAGCAAATCCGCCGTGACATAATAATGCCACCACAACCGCTTGATACAGATGGCATCGATTGCATAGAGCAGATTGGTAGTCGAATTTTTTCGAACCTTAATCGGTATTTTTTTGCTATTAGATTCTTACTGCTTTAATTTAAAACCTCCTTTTGGTTTTAGCCGTACTGCTGTTCCGGATACACGAGCACACAGCAGATTCGAACCATCACCCTCCAAGTCTAACTGCTCTTTAAAACTAAATTTTAAGCGAAAATATATATTTTTCTCAATTAACTTACTTGAGTACATGGGAAGCTCCTAATTTCTTAGCTTCGGTTATTAACGATCGAGTGGCTTCTCTTAATTTTTGTATTTTTTTTTTGAAAGATAATACGATTTACCCAAAACTGCGTCTAATAGCAAGCATCCGAGCCTCATTTGTTGCTCTAGGAGTCCTGATCCGGTCCAACCAGGCATGTTCCGGATCTTTTTCAACCGCTAAATGATGGACCAATCCCAATACTTCCTCCGCTTCATTATCCTCGGGAATGTATTCGCCTAAATTTATCGTAGTACGGTAGTTTATCCATTGTTCCGCACCTGATAGTAGGGCTAATCGTTTCGAACCACGATCCAAAATAGTCACGTGTAACTCGAATAAAAGTTCGCCTCTAATGCCTAAATAAAATTTATTTATTTTTATTGGTCTTTGTAATTTATTAACTTACCAAGTAATGTATCGTAGATCGGTAAACAAAATGAAAAGCTTTTTTCAGGGATCCCATCAGCCAGCATTTTCTCATAAATAGAAATATGATTCAAATACACGCGACCAATTGCGTCATTAGAGCTGTAGGTATCGTGGTCCATTACTCTAAATTTGGGCATTAAAGTGATAGGGCAACATTACCTAATATCTGGTGGAGTAGCCCCATGTAATAATTCTGTCGCTTCAAATACACATGTTTGTTCATCCCAAATCGGATCCAGACTTCGCACAACTCCACTTTTCCATACATCCTCTCCAAAACGTATCGCAACAAATGCATCTGTACTAGCTACTGACTAAAAATACTAATACGTTTCAAAGTAATATAATTTTAACCTTATTCATGACCGGCAACCCCCGCGCATTCTTTATCGAAAAACTAAACAACGCCGATTGTCCATAATCTTCAGATATCCTCATCTACACCCTAGAAAGGCGGGTTAATTTAAACATTTCGAAATTTCATATCGAAAATCATAATGTCGTGAATTGAGAAAGTCGACGTTATCATTTTCGACATTATTTTAGTACATCTAAAAACCCAACTTGGAATGTAAACACGACACAAATAGCCACTAAGCTCGTACAATATTTATTTCAAAAGCGTGATGGAAACAAAATGTTTATGACCAGAACAACGGCAGAACAATAACAACAATCTATTTGAAGATTTTTCCTTGGTTGAATTTGCGGCCCTCGAAGTCGCCCTCCCACATCCAATACTCGTTGACGGTCTTCTTTGTCGCCTCGTCCTTCGGGTCAAGCTTCTTCCAGTCGTATGATTCGTAATCGACCTGAATATAACAATTTTTTTAGTAATTGCTACAAAATAGTGACTGGGTAAGAGCAAGAGAGAGAGAGAGAGAGAGAGTGAAAGAGAGAGAGAGAGAGAGAGAGAGAGAGAGAGAGAGAGCGCGAAAGAGCGAGAAAGAGGGGAGAGAGAGACTGAGAGAGAGGGAGAGCGAGAGAGACAGAGGGAGAGAGAGAGGGGGGAGAGAGAAGGAGAGAGCGTGAGAGAGAGGGGAGAGAGAGGGAGAGAGTCAGTCCGAGTGAGAGAAAGATGAGCGAGGTGGAGAGAGTGTGAGAGAGTTATGTTCTTTTTTTGATAAATTAGTTTTTTATTACCTGCCAATCCGGGGACAGCTCGAATGCCAGGTCCTGACCACGCCAGACCCAGATTCCAGAGATTTGAGAGTTGTTATCGGTTCCGAAGAGAATCATAGACGCAAATGCGTTCTTCTTCAGCTTCTCCAAACGTTGGTACATGCCTGATTAAATTACTTCAAAACTATTTTAATGCCGTACCAGAGATGAGATTGCAGCTCATGAAGGACAGGGTCAGCTCATCGTTGTATTTATAATCGCAACGCCAGATCGAGCAATTTTCAGCATCAAAGTTGTCCCAGAAGTAGGGGATGGCCTTGGTGGCCGTGTCCTCGTTCGAGTAGACGCGCTGAAATATTTAGTATATTTTTAAGTTTTAATTTTTAGCTTTATCGCAACATCAAAAATTCCAGCTCCAAACGTAATTGTCATGAGCAACACTAAGAAATAGCTAATGGCCTTTTTCCATTTCTGGATGAACGATGGCTAGACTACTTCAACTCTCGTGCTCAGCCGAAATGTCCCTACGACCCAGGCACAAAAACTGCACCAAAGGTCGCGGATAACAAACCGGTTACTTTTCCACCACTGTAACGCATATAATCGATGAAAATGATTATCTGCTGACTAGGCGATGGTAATTCAAATCAGTATTAAAGGTACCTTGAAGGCATCCATGACAAAGGAAGACTTTGGCATCGACTCGAAAGGATCTTTCTGCTTAGGCTCAGCAGCAACAGCCGCATCAGCAGCGTCAAGCTCCTCGGGTTCCTCCTTCTTCTTCTTGTCAGCCTTTGGTGCGGCAGGGGCGGCCTCCTTCTTTGGCTTTTCGGCCTTGGGCTTGGCGCCAGCACCCTTTCCACCCTTCGGCTTTTCGGGCTCTAAAATTCATTGTTTTCATTTCTTTGGGTAAACTGACCTTCATTTCCGACGCTCGTGTCGAATTTGACCTCTCCAAGAACCTCCTTGGCGGCTGGTTGATTGACAACGGTGTTGAACCAACGGGTCAAATGCGTGTACCGCTTTCGCAGACACTGGTTGATACCGTTCTCAAAAGCCGGCAACAGATCCAGAGCCACAGAAATATCAGCAAGGGAGATACGCTCTCCAACCAAGTACGTTTTCTTCTCCAGGATCTCGTTCAGTCCGGATAATTGGCTGAGCAGCTCCTTCTTGTAGATGGCGACGACCTCCTCATCAAATTCGGTCTTCGACACCTTTGGCAGCACGTATCCGAGGATGTTTGGCAGCAAATTCGCCTCTCCCCATTGCACCCATTGAAGAACTGCACCGCACTAATATTATTTTATAGCTGAAAATTGCTCAAAACCAACGCTTTTGGGGCATCCCAGAACACCGGCTACTAAGTGAAGTGAGATCGCGTCAGCACCGAACAGATGATCAGCTCCGTCCGAATAAGCCGGGGTCTATAAACGATTCGGTATTGCTATTTCTCACATACCAAGCCCAGGGGAGAAACGTCAGCTGGCGGCACATCTCCAGCCAGCTCGACGTTCTTCTTGGCGAACTTAGCCGCCACAAGCACCTTTTTGGTGCGGAAGCTCCCGGCCGGTCCGTAGAGTTTCTATAAGTCATTTTTGTTTTGGCGCGATATTTTTGGACCTACACCCATTGCAGCCCGCTTGATTTGCCGCTCGTCAGAGAAGATTGGCTGAAATATCGGTTATTATCAGTTGTGAAGCTGCGCTATGAAGGAGAACTTAAATTAACAGTTCCTCTGTGATATTTTGTAGCTGCTGGTGTTGCTAGAAAATCCAGTATTTTCACATAGATTAAGCTAATTGTTTTTAGGATATATTAAATTACTTAGAGCCAAATAAGACAAAATCGACACGATAATTTTATTGTTACGCCCTGCAAGAAAGGTTATCGCTTTTCAAGTCGGCATTGGGCCATTCAAGCTTTCATAACTCCATTGGGGGCCCAGATTGCAAAAAGAAAAATTGTGGGAAAGTGCAGAAGATAAATTTCGAAATTGTAAGTGCTAAATTCGTCCAAAAAAGCTCACAGTTTCGTTGCGATTTGGAAAATCAGCTATTTGGGCTCCAATGCTGGGGTGGAGGGTACGGTATACGATCCATTGCATTGCAGGCAAGAGTGGGCTGCGCGGGCGCACAAACGTTCTTCCGAAAAAACTCACCGATTGTCTTTTTTATTTTATTTAGCCGTTTTTGCAGTGTTTTCTTAAAATAAAATGTTGCTAATTGTTTTACGCCCTTCGCTCTCATTTAGAAATAAATTTTGTGATCTACACAGGTTTTTTCCAGGGTTACGTGGCGCCGAAATGGATCGCTCCAGAAAGACCCCATCATACCATTCAAGTAAGCTTCACTTTTTAACAACTATAGCCAGCTTTTTACTTTGAATTATCTGTAAACGCTGACACTGTTTCCTTTTTCAGGTTCGATGAATTCGGTGCCACCTCCCGTTGAACTCACGATGGCGAACACTGCCGCACGCGCGAACATGTCTCAATACGCGAGAGAAATTGAGCGCCAGAAGGAGGAGCAGGCATGCAGCTTTTCAAAATAGCTTAATTTGTTTTTTAGTACTTCAAATTGGCTTCTGGCGACAGATCGGGTAGCAAGCAATCATCCTCCAGTGGCCAATCAAGAGAACGCAAACGCAAAATTTTTGACAACGAGTAAGTTTTCTTTTTGAACGAGTTAGGGAATCCTTTTTGGGTACTTGGAAAAGGATGATGACTCGGAATACTCGGAATATTACGACCAAAAGCGGGCCGAACGATATCTTGACGACGACTCTGAGAAAAAGGTTCAAAAGCACAATGAGAGCGAGGACGGTGGGTAATTACCGTGTTTTAACCGATAATTTCTTTTCAGAAGATGATTTGGATGCTTTCATGGCCGGAATCAACGCTCAGGCAGCGTCAGACCAAAAGGAAAGTCAGAAAAAAGAAGCTGCACGTGCGGCCGGCAAAGAGGAGGTATTTCGTTCTTATTGGCACTCATATTTGTTTCCGGTTGTGCAAAAAGCTGAACCGTTGGGACTCGATGAAGAGGATATGCAGGAAAGCATGATGAAGTAAGAAAATTACCGATACTTTGACCATTCTAGGTACCTCGCTGATTACAAAGAAAAGGAAGCGGCACAGGATGAAATTCACGAGTATGACGAGGACGGCAAAATTATCTTCACCTTCAAGAAGGTTAATTTTGTATGTATGAGATTAATTTTCCCGTTCAGCATATAGACCCGTTGCCGAAGATGGACCACGCGTCTGTCGCTTACAAGCCCTTCAAGAAGGATTTCTACAAAGAACATGAAGAAATTAGCAAGATGAACGTCTTCGATGCCGGGCGTTTGCGCGATAAACTCGATTTGAAAGTGGCCGGCAACAACCCGCCTAAACCTGTCTGCAGTTTCGCGCATTTTGGTTTTGACCAAAAGCTGATGGCGTTTATCCGAAAGTCCGAATACGAACAGCCAACGCCTATTCAAGCTCAGGTAACTGGCTTAGTAAAAAAGATGTACTCATTTCTAGGCGGTACCCGCTGCGCTTGCCGGAAGGGATGTGTTGGGTATCGCGAAGACCGGAAGCGGTTTGTGCAAATTAGGCATCAAAAGCCTGTAAATTTTAGGTAAGACGGCAGCATATCTATGGCCAGCTATCGAGCATATCAAACATCAACCGCCCTTGAAAGAAGGTGATGGGCCCATCGCTTTGGTCGTGGTGCCTACGAGAGAACTTGCGATCCAGGTGAGGAAAATATGAAAAGCCATTATCTTGTTATTTAGGTCTACCAGGAAGCCAAACGTTTCTGCAAGGCCCACGATATCAATGTCATTTGCGCGTACGGCGGCGGGAGCAAATGGGAACAACAAAACGAGTTGCAATCGCAAGGCGCTGAGCTTGTTGTCTGTACACCGGTTGGTTTATTGATGTATTCGTTGACATGACACTTTTCAGGGACGTATCATCGACCTGGTCAAGATCAAAGCAACAAATTTGCAACGCGTCACTTTCCTGGTGTTTGATGAAGCAGACAGAATGTTTGATCTTGGATTTGGTGAGTCTGAATGTGTATTACTTGACAACTCTTTAAGCTGACGCGAATTGAGTTAATGGGTTTCTTCAAGTCTTTTACGAAGTTTCCTGAGTATTCGTTTCGCTTTAGAAGCTCAAGTTGCTTCGATCTCCCAACACGTGCGCCCCGACCGTCAAACGTTGATGTTCAGCGCAACTTTTAAACCTAAGGTTTGTTTCTATGTTGCCAGTTAGTGAATTTCTGGTTTTGTTAGGTGGAGCATTTGGCTCGAGATGCATTGGCTGACCCCGTGCGAATCGTCCAAGGAAACATCGGCGAGGTAATTTACGCTAGCTCTCGTCATACGGCGGCTCATTCAGGCGAATGAGGATGTCGAGCAAACGATTCACGTCATGAAATCACCCGAGGTGAAAATGAAGTGGCTCTGCGATCATCTTGTGCAGTTCTCTTCTGGTATTGTTTTTCATTGCTTCAAATGATTCTTTTTACTTTAGAAGGAAAGGTGCTCGTGTTTGTTACGAAGAAAACGGATGCGGAAGATTTGGCAGCCAGATTGAGGGTCAGCTTTTCCTGATTTACTGACTATAACCAAATTTAGACGCGAGATTTCGAACTAGAGCTCCTGCATGGTGATATGTTCCAACACGAAAGAAACGAACGCCTGGCACTTTTCCGCAAGAAGTGTAAGATCTTGGTTGCCACTGACGTTGCTGGTGGGTTCTGCAATTTGCTCCTTTGTGTAATAGCGCTGTAAAAACACGAAGCTACCTAAATTTTTGAGTTTTCCGGCTTATGTTATTAATTTAGCCCGTGGTCTGGACATTCCTGAAATCCGGACCGTGATCAACTACGATGCTGCCCGAGATATCGATACTCATGTTCATCGAATTGGTCGTACTGGCCGCGCAGGTATAACTCACCTATTATAACGAATTCACTCATTATCAGGCCAAAAGGGAAGAGCCTTCACTTTGATCCTCGAAGCAGACAGTGAATTTTCGGCGCAACTTGTACAGAGCATGGAATCCGCTGGACGACAGGTATTTATCTAGAATCTATCGTATGCGTTTAATTTAGGCCCCGCCAGCGCTTGTAGAGGTGGCAAGCAAATGTCTGTGGTTCAAGAATCAACGTGTGAACAAAGGACAAACTGGCCGCATTGGGCTTGGCTTCGCCTCTTCGACCACGAGCGGAAGTTCGGGTGCAAACCCGTTAAAAAGTTATATCCCGTCCCAAAAGGCCGAATACAGTAAGAACTTTGATTTATTCTTAATTTTGCTATTCAGTACGCCCATCTACGGCGGATCCTCCATCTTCGTCCTCGGGTTCATCCTCGGGATCATCGGGCGGCGCGAGCTCAACAAAGGAACCGGTGGCGTCTACTAGGCTGTCAATGTTGAGAAACGCGTATCAGGTTAACATCGTTGCGAACCTCTTCAAGCGCTAATTTCTAGAGCGCATATACGCAGAAGTTTCAACGCTCCCAATTGCCCGAACCGGAGAAGGTACCATATATATTGTTTTTCCTGGAAATCCCGTGGCTTTTTTAGGTTGTCACCGATCCACGGCCGGAATGGAAAAAGCGGCTCGATGATTTCAAAGCAAAGGTGGAACGGCAGGCGCCCCATTCTTCCTCGAACTCTCACTCAAATCGGCATTAATTTATTCTGACATGGGTTGTTAGTCAATTCATGCAGATTCATTGTTATTTTTTCGCTTTTGGTGTCGATAAAGAAACCCGTGCGAGCTCGGTTGTAGACTCGTTCGTTTCATATGAATTTGAGGAAGGGCCGGTTTGAGGTCAGGCATTGACACTTTGCGCGACTCACGCTTCGGTGTGGGAAGTGTTGGCAAGAAAAATGAGGGCCCATCTTCAGCCTCTAAAACAAATTCTAGGTTTCATAACTATTAGCTAACGCCCACCCGGCTCATCTTCCCGAAGCATAGGTCCAATATTAAGCAGTGCCAGCAGAGACTGTCGCTGCTCCTGATTATGATTGTGCCCATATTGCACGAATCGTGGAGAACGAGGCGAAGGAGGTGTCCGCCGAGGAGAACTAAACGTAGTTGCTCTTTTTCTTTTCGATAAATCTTTGCAGATACTGACCGACACGGTGAAGAATGGCTCTCGATGCCATTTCCGGCCACTGGGACTCGATCGAAGTCTCCTCGTTTCGACGGACGCCCAAAGGTGATCGATTATCCGAATTTTAGGCCAACTCTTACCTCATCAATTGCACGTATGACAAAGCACATTTGCTGCGAGGACGGAACACGATACGCGACAATCGCGGCGAAGTAGAACAGATTGACAGCAATACGAAGAACACGATGAACGAGAGATTCATGACGAAAAAGCCGATCAGCATGGCTTGCGAAGAAGTGAACGGTGAGTACTCAACGAACAGTTCTTGATATGAATTGTGTTGCTTCCGCTGCACGACCTCGGCTTCTACTTTTTTACAACTTTTCTTCAGGCAATTCGGTGAACCATCACAATGATAGTGATTGCTGATGCAGGCACTAAATCAAAATTTCCGCTTGCAGATGCATAAGGGTTTGGAGACTACTTACCCAACTTCTAGGCATCTTATGGTATTTTTTTGGGTGCACGTCACAATCGGCGTAATAATAATGTTTGAGCGGAAGTTCAGCTTCTGCGGGATACCAAGCGTTAAAGGTAGCGGTACCCGGAGGTAGGTCTAAACGTATTATCTAATGACGCAGGCGATAAGTAACATTTGGAGGGAATAAAGCTATCTAGATCTATAAAACATGCTGGGAACGACGAACGTGCGCTGGCCTGAGCCCCACCACCGGCTGCCGCTGTATTGTGTAGTTAATTCCATGGCTTGCCACACTCAAATGTCGTGCATTCGCCAATTGTCGATGTGAAAAAACCAATGCCGTTTTCACTAAAAATGCCTACTTCTTACGAACTCTTTCTGAATATCGTTCATCCGTAATTAATTCTAGCGCCGAGGGGTCGCTGTTTGAATGGGCTCAATTAGCGCAACGTTTTTTTTGCGCAGGAAGAAAGAACATGATGCGAAGCAGGAAGGGTGTTAGAAAGCGCCGCGTTTGGACTCACCGATCAACAGCACTTCTCTAGACGTCCCTTTGATCGATACCCTGGTCAGAGCAGTTAGTATCTTTACAAATTAACTTACTTGCAAACCTTGCTTTCTTTAGAAGATGAAGGGACTAAAAAAGCACCCGTTGAAAGGGTGATGGCGGATTCATTTCCCAGAAACAGCTCTTGCACCGGGCATCCAGTAATTAGGGGCGAGAAAAAGACGATCCATATTTTTAGCGGCCGCATCGAATCAACTTCTGAAAGAAAAGAAGAACCGCAAGATCCGGAAGCAGCCTTCAAAAGGAATGAACTCCAGAGGACGAATAAGGGGCGGCACTCCAATTTTGAAGTGCCAAGTGAGCGGGATTCGATTTCAAAGAAGGGAGAGGAGGTTGGGTACCCGGAATAACCCTCATAGAACGAAGGCCCGAATTTGCAGGCAGTTTGCCGTCGAACTCACGGTCATAACGGGTGTTTTCTAGATAAAAGGGCTAATTGGAGCCACGATCAGCGGAAAGAAAGGCTCTCTTGGGAGCCTCATTAACCCGTGATATTTCAGCACGTCGGCGACGAGCTCTAAACAAATCAAGCATCGGACGCAAAGAGAACGATATAACCAGCAATATATGCCGAATGTAGATTAGCAGGTGACCGGAAGTTTAAGTTTGTAAAAGTTTGAATACATGTGAAAAAAATTAGCATACCGGAGCGGCGGATGAAGCATGCTCTGCAAAATTGTTGTGATCATTCTCAATCACCCCGCTAGGATGCCTGGTAAGTTTTTCCGGCACTTTGGCGCAATTTTTGCTGCCTTTTTCGGTTATTAGTTGCGTCTTTCCAGGATCCGGTGAGATCCCGCTCAACCACCACCGTGCCAACATCCGCGAGCCGATGCCGTTGACGGGCGTGCCACCTGCTTTCGACCGGACTCCGGGGTTTGAGGCGATTGATCGGATCGCCAGGGACGGCTTCTGGGAGATCCTAGAGGTGATTTTCGCAAATCTGAAACCTTGTGCATTCTTGTGGTGCGCCGTCTCTACTGACAAGGTACCACCTAAGGGCAAGGCGCGTTTCGAAATGAGATTAAGCCTATCTTATGCAGAATTTTTCGCTGATTTCGAACGTGCTTTCATTTTCTTGCAAATTCGTGGATTTAAAGCTATCCGATAGGCTGCACTTGAGTATTTGCAGGGGGACCTAATTTTTCCTATGAGCAGGTTGGCCTAGCCATCAAATACAGAAAGTTCTTTTAGATTGTTTTTAGTAAAATTTATCAATATTTGAAGTAAATAGGATGAAATAAAATCAACAAATAAAAATGAATGTTTGAATCGGAATTTTGGTCGTAATTTTAGGTTGAAAAATCGATTTTTCGACTTCAAATACAATTTTTTTAATAAAAATTTGTAGAGCTTTGATAAAGAATAGGTTAGAACAGTGTGAAACTGATGCTTTATTTATATCTAGGCTACCATCGAAAAGTCCCCCCGCCCCAAGAATATTCGAAAACCGCAACCTTGACCTTAGGTGGTTTTACCTGGTCGGGTGCTGCACCTGCGAGCTTGAAGATGACAATTTTTAGAAAACCGCCGGGATCCTAAACCAAAACGACATCTATGTTACGGAGATCGAGGATCGAACGAAGGAGGAGGTGGCCAAGCTGAAGCAGCAGCTTATCGAGTCCGAAAAGCTGCATTTGGAGGAGGAGCTGGTAATCAGCAAAAAAAAAAGATGTTACACAACTTTTAGAAATCGAAAGCGGAGATCTCCATGCTCAAAGAACAGATGCGCAATCTCGAGATCAAGTGCGGCCAGACGGATACGGTAATCAGTAAAAAACGATGTTACACAATTTTTAGAAGCTCGAGGCCAAAATGAAGCTACTCGACATGACAGAGGCCAAATTGAGTGCCCTCCTGAAGGAGATCGGTGTTTTGCACACCCAGATTGACAAAACCGAAGCCAAGGTAATCCGCAAAAGAAAATTTTGTTAATCTTTACAGAACAAAGAGTACGAGGCCATGATCGAAGAACTTGAAAGGGAAGCCTCGGAGTTGCGCTCGCGCTTGGTGGAATTTACCAAGGGGAAGGATGAGGTAGCGCTGCCCGGATATTTTCCAATTTGCCATGTTTAGTCGTCGGTGCCGTTGCTCCACGCGTTGAAGGAGGACTGGCAGGACAAGACGCTGTGCAAGTTCGACGGCTCTGAACACTTGTAATTTCAATTAAGTTTGATAGATTCGTGTTTTGTCGATTGAATGTGTTCTGTAATGTCGCCTGTTTTCTTGTAAGTACTTGCTATCGGTGTTCCGTGATTGTGATAGCCCGGCCGGATTCCAATATGTTCCTCATTTACCTTTCTCTTTTTTGCCAAGCGATATAAAAAGCCCCAATAGAACGGTTTGATACGTGTGAAATTAATAAAGCTTTTTGAAAGACATCAGTTACAAGCTACAACGCCGGTAAACACCTAGCTGGAAAATCGGCAAAAACTTTCAGGCCTGCACCGCTACGAACATAAGCGCCTTGCGTGTATGCGCCACAGGCCCGCACTCGCAAACGTGCAGGCTTTACGAGTTTTGAGTTATCCTTGCGTAGTACTTTCCTTTTGATTGGGATGAATTTGAAATTCTTTGACTAATGATATAAGACTTTTCGACTTTCGCGTTCCCTTGTTTTCCAGTTCCGTTTTCCTGCGCATCCTTTCAAATTATTCGATTTTCCAGGTAGCCAGGCCCCCGTTCGCAACGATGAAACAGCTGTATTCAAGCTTCAGGTGTACATCTTCTTTTGGCAATAACTTATTTTGTAGATGCATGGTGAGGTCACGCCCGGGATCAAACAGAAGAAGCGACGCCAAAGGTAGGTAAAACATGATTTAGGTAATGCGCGCTACCGGGCTGCAACAACGACAATGGCGATCGCGAGGGCTGCGATTTTGCGTGATGACGTAGGCCGCTTGCTAAGTGTTTTACCCAGTTTTGGGTTTTAGAGGGTCGAAAAATACGCGTCGCCACAGAAAAACGTACCATGGTGGTTATGGATCTGAGCGCTGCAAGTTACAGGTGTGCTTTATTTCTGCAACTTAATTTTCCATGTTTTCAGATTGGCAGTGTCACCGGCGGATTCGCGAACAATCCAGGGAGCGTTTTCACGCTTGCGAAGGTATTTTTATATATTACCACTTGTTTTAGATGCAAAGGTGCTCGTGTTTGTTACGAAGAAAACGGATGCAGAAGATTTGGCAGCTAGATTGAGGGTTAGTTTTTCCTGATTTACTGAATATAACAAAATTTAGACGCGAGATTTCGAACTAGAGCTCCTGCATGGTGATATGTTCCAACACGAAAGAAACGAACGCCTGGCACTTTTCCGCAAGAAGTGTAAGATCTTGGTTGCCACTGACGTTGCTGGTGAGTCTTGAAATTTGCTTCGTTTTGTAGGTGGCTGTAAAAAACACGAAGCTACCTAAATTTTTGAGTTTTCCGGCTTATGTTATTAATTTAGCCCGTGGTCTGGACATTCCTGAAATCCGGACCGTGATCAACTACGATGCTGCCCGAGATATCGATACTCATGTTCATCGAATTGGTCGTACGGGCCGCGCAGGTATAGCTCACCTATTATAACGAATTCACTCAATATCAGGCCAAAAGGGAAGAGCGTTCACTTTGATCCTCGAAGCAGACAGTGAATTTTCGGCGCAACTTGTACAGAGCATGGAATCTGCTGGACGACAGGTATTTATCACGAATATATCGTATGCGTTTAATTTAGGCCCCGCCGGCGCTTGTAGAAGTGGCAAGCAAATGTCTGTGGTTCAAGAATCAACGTGTGAACAAAGGACAAACTGGCCGCATTGGGCTTGGCTTCGCCTCTTCGACCACGAGCGGAAGTTCGGGTGCAAACCCGTTGAAAAGTTATATCCCGTCCCAAAAGGCCGAATACAGTAAGAAAATTTTGATTTGCTCGGAATTTTGTTATTCAGTACGCCCATCTACGGCGGATCCTCCATCTTCGTCCTCGGTTTCGTCCTCGGGATCATCGGGCGGCTCGAGCTCAACAAAGGAGCCGGTGGCGTCTTCTAGGCTGTCAATGTTGAGAAACGCGTATCAGGTTAACATCGTTGCGAACCTCTTCAATCGCTAATTTCTAGAGCGCATATACGCGTCCTTGCAGCCATTTAGCGGAGCAACCCTAGATAGACAAAAAGTATGGGCGGGAATGAGGTTTTCTATATACGGCTTGCTCTGTAGTGCACCCCCGCCAAAAACGGGGTTATTAAAATTGGGGTAGTTTTTTTGGGAACCGCACCGATACGTTGGCGGTTTAGGTACCTCGCTGATTACAAAGAAAAGGAAGCGGCATAGGATGAAATTCACGAGTATGACGAGGACGGCAAAATTATCTTCACCTTCAAGAAGGTTAATTTTGTATGTATGTTATTAATTTTCCCATTCAGCATATAGACCCGTTGCCGAAGATGGACCACGCTTCTGTCGCTTACAAGCCCTTCAAGAAGGATTTCTACAAAGAACATGAGGAAATTAGCAAGATGAACGTCTTCGATGCCGGGCGTTTGCGCGATAAACTCGATTTGAAGGTGGCCGGGAACAACCCGCCTAAACCTGTCTGCAGTTTCGCGCATTTTGGTTTTGACCAAAAGCTGATGGCGTTTATCCGAAAGTCCGAATACGAACAACCAACGCCTATTCAAGCTCAGGTAAGTGGTCTTGGATTTGGTGAGTCTGATTGTGTATTACTTGACGACTCTTTACGCTGACGCGTAGACGCGTATTGAACAACTGGGTTTCAAGTGTTTTATGAGGATTGCTGAGTATTCGTTTCGCTTTAGAAGCTCAAGTTGCTTCGATCTCCCAACACGTGCGCCCCGACCGTCAAACGTTGATGTTCAGCGCGACTTTTAAGCCAAAGGTTTGTTTCTATGTTGCCAGTTAGTGAATTTCTGGTTTTTTTTAGGTGGAGCATTTGGCTCGAGATGCATTGGCTGACCCCGTGCGAATCGTCCAAGGAAACATCGGCGAGGTAATTTACGCTAGTTCTTGTTATATGGCGGCTGATTCAGGCGAATGAGGATGTCGAGCAAAGGATTCACGTCATGAAATCACCCGAGGTGAAAATGAAGTGGCTCTGCGATCACCTTGTGCAATTCTCTTCTGGTATTGTTTTTCATTGCTTCAAATGATTCTTTTACTTTAGAAGGAAAGGTGCTCGTGTTTGTGACGAAGAAAACGGATGCGGAAGATTTGGCAGCCAGATTGAGGGTCAGCTTTTCCTGATTTACTGACTATAACCAAATTTAGACGCGAGATTTCGAACTAGAGCTCCTGCATGGTGATATGTTCCAACACGAAAGGAACGAACGCCTGGCACTTTTCCGCAAGAAGTGTAAGATCTTGGTTGCCACTGACGTTGCTGGTGGGTTCTGCAATTTGCTCCTTTTTGTAGGTAGCTGTAACAAACACGAAGCTACCTAAGTTTTTGAGTTTTCCGGCTTATGTTATTAATTTAGTTACGGTTACGGTTATCAAAACGTTGTTAATATCGAAAGTTTTTAGCCATTTCGGAGTATTTTTGCTTAACAAAACGGCTCTGCATTTTGCAACGACGTTTTTTCTGATCTTTTCTACTTACAAGGAGACATTTTTCAGTATCGTCGTGGTTTCAAATTGTGATCAAAACGAGCTTGAGAATTTTGCGCTGAGACCGAAGAGGTTTACAAAATTTGCGGAATAAGGTTGACGCTTACCATTTTTTTCAAAGTTATGAACGATTTGCGACCAAGAAATGGCCTCCATGCGCGATTTCAATTTTCCAGTTACAGCGGTTTTCCAGATTTAAATCGTTCATTGTTTCGCAAGGCGGCTATTCCCAAATTTTGCTACAAAGTCGGAGTCAGCGCAAAATTTTGCACAAGGTCGGTTGGTCCAAATTGAGAACGCGACACTCAAAAACGACTCCTTGTTAAAAACGATGGAAACGGAAAGACAGGGATTGATAGAGAACATGCGGAGGTGCTGAAGTTGTTTCAGATTCGTTGCGCTCCACGACGACGAGTTTGGCCGTTCAAGTTCGATCGAGGCGTCTACTAACGCTCCTCACAATTTTGCTGCGGTTAGTGGGTATTTCGATACTTCTCCGCCGTTTTTGTTACGAGTTTGACCATTCGACAAGCCGATGGCCGTGGATGCCGAAATGACGCAGAACATGTGAGGATTGGTAACTCGATCGTAAGTCGGCTGGGTTTGTTAATTTGTTTCTTTCGTTTTGAAGATCCCTTTTTAGTTTCGAAATTCAGTTTCTCTGCGCATCGCGTTGGATCCTGCGCCAAAAGGCATTACCAATGCCAGCTTCGACTACGCTTTTTATTGAGCCGGAGTTCAACCTCTTTTTCAGTTATTCTAGGCGGCGCTGAGTAGTCTGCAGATTCTAGCGATTATTGCCAACTTAATGGCTTCTTCACCGGCTCCCGCTAATCCGCCCAATAGTTGAGGGGTCCATTTTTTATCAAGCAACCCCCTCTTTGGCTATTCATTAGATCTCATTCACTTAGGGATTAGAATCACAGTGTTCTTGCAGCCATTTCGCGGGGCAACCCTAGAAAGACAAAAAATATGGGCGGAAATTAGTTTTTCTATATACGGATTGCTCTGTAGCGCGCCCCCGCAAAAAACGGGGTTACTAAAATTGGGGTAGTTTTTTTTGGAACGGGTTTGGTTAAGGGAAGCTGTTCCGGATTGTGCCGAGCGTCTGGAAGATGTTCAAATCTTTAAAAGTAAATTTGGTTTTTATAAAGTATATTATAAACTTATTTAGTTTTTGGTTGAACGATACTGACCTGACCTAGATTCCGTCCATTTCTCTTACGATAAATATTTTTCTCATCCGAACCAAATCATCCGTCTATAATTGAGGGTGGGTGTAGCTCATTCATCATCACAACAATGCTGGTTATACTTTTTGCCTCATGGGGCGTTTGCGAAATTTCTCGGCGTCAAAGGGCAGCTTGGAGGTTGTAAAGGCGCGGGGGATGTTGAATGAGTTTGATTTTCTGGCTTTCAGGATTCTTGGAATTACTTCGGTATCGTAATAAGCGGATTCGCCGAAAACCAATTGTTTAATCTACCGTTTTATATATTTAGATTGAGTTTCATTTCTCGAGGCCAGCAGGCTTTTTGGAAGATAGAAATGATGTCTGGTATCGAAAACGCTTCTCACCGACCACCGCCCCCAACTATTACCGGTAAAAAGGTGCTTCCCACGGCTATGTGCGCTGTTCCTGCGCTTGCAGTATAAAATAGGGAGAGAGGAAGATTAAAAAATTGTATTGGATAATGTGCGTGGCCGACGCTAAAAACTCGCCGGAAACGAGGCGATGTCGTTGGGGGAAACCGCACGTTTCGAACGTGCGTTTGCGACTGGGTAAGGATTTAAAAAACTGCCAGCTTGGTAAAAATATCGGTAGTGGGGTGTTAGCGGGAGTATCTAAATTCGGTCTCTCGCCCTAGGATCCCGATAGCTCTCTACGTCGTTGGAATATAGAACGTTCAAAAAATGGAAAATATTGCGGCAAATTTTGAGTATTGGTCAAAAATGTAGTAAAATCGTCCAAAATTTCAAACTTTTGCAGTTTTCAAAAATGTTTAAGACCTTTTCATGGTCCAAACATACTAAAAAAACGTTAGAACTAAACAGCGTCAGAGAGTTGGGGAGCTTTTTCACCCCCGCTAACAGTCTAGTGCCAAAAAATTTCACCAGGCGGATTCGAAGTGTGCCAGACTACCAGCATCTTCAAAAAGACACCTGGGCGCTTCTGTGTATGACCGTGGCTTGACGCAAAAAAGCTGAGTAGCGGAAGTACAGAGTCTTTGCCCGTCGTCTATAGGTTTACCCTGAGTCGATGTCCTATTTTGCTGATATACTAGCGGCTTTATCGTGACCTCCATCATTGTCAACTGTACGATGCGTGCAGGGCGGAAGTGCCACCTACACCCTCAACTCATCACGATTGCAAATTTGATATGCGGCGGGAAAACACGACTTCCTGGGATGCCTAGAATAACCGCATCCGGGGCCCGTTCTCTAGTTTTTCTTGGAATTCATTCACCTGGGGTCTATTTAATGAGGAGCCGGGTTCACGGTTGAGGGATAGAGAATAAAAGCATCTCTATCATTGGCTTCTCAATCTGAGGGCTGGGCCCTATAGGGGCGGGGCCAAACGTGGGGCCCGCCGAGGCACCCGGATATAAAGCGGCTGATTGTAGGCCCCATTACTGGGTCGGCTCGACAATTTTGCTCTCGAGAGGCGGTGTTTTGGCTTGTCGTGATTTTACTGTAGCTTTTAAGTCGGCTACTTGCTTTGGTTTTAGCTTAGGTTTTAGTGGGATACTTTTCACTTTTTTCTGGGTTTTCTGTATAAAACTTTACAATTTCAGAAAATGCTCTTCGAACTGTCCCTCGATCATTTCGAGTCTTCAATGACGATGCCCTCAATGAAGGTCGTCAACCCCAAAGCCAAGGTCCAGCCGCAAAGCCAATTCAAAGCCATCTCAGCGATCAGGTAAGCTACAGTAGACAATCACTAATCCGTCCCGCCCTGTAGAATGCCAATGATGCTGGCGATGAACACGCTGCACATCTCCGAGAAGCGCGATAGCATCGACAGTGGTAGGTCTATGCTAAATTTTAAAGAAAGTTGATTTTGATAAATATAGTTAACTTTAAGGCTAGAATACTAAGTAAAAATAAGTCCGGTAGAGAAACGTATCTTCAGGTAGTAGGATTCTTCTTTAACCCGTTGAATCAAAAACAATCCTTGAAAGAATGGACCAGGAAATCAAAGTTGGTAGCTTTTCAAAATTCAGAATCCGCACAGTTGAGCCGGTTTCGATCCTAGAAATAAAGTTAATATTTTCTAAGTGAATAAATATAGTACATCTAAGTTTTTGGCTATGATAAAATATCATCTTCTACCACCATTCTTCCTCAACCCTCCTCGGGGGCCACGAAATCAAAGTTTGTTGGCTTCGCGAAAGCCCGCTAATCCGCCGGCGTAACGCGAACAAAAGGCGGGTAGCCCATTGATGCGTGGCATTTCGGGGGGTATGGTCCATTCTAAAAAGTGTGGCTGGATTACCGTAGTGGCCGTTGGGGGGTACCACGTGAAGGTGTGCGTCTAGTTTGGGAAGTAAACAATTGCGTCAAAAGACTGGGAGAGGAGAGGGCAAAAATCGGGGAATCCCCTCGCCTAACCAACCCCTAATTAGATCTACTTGGTTGCGTAGATGCAGGGGATTGGGTTATGATTTATGATGGCGAGGCCACGTGCGTTTTTGGGTGTTAAAAAGTTTTCTGGGTTTTGTTAAGGAAAATAAAATATAAATAGTATTTTATTATCTTTAATGTATATTAGAATAATTTTTCAGCTACCTCATCTCGTAACGGTTCGATCTGCGATGAAAAAGCTCCAGAACTGAAGCGCCATGGCTCGGCTCCGCAGCTGGATAAGGTACGGTAACTCTAGTCTTTTTTGTTTTATTTAACATTTTTGATTATAGCATATTATTAATTAGAAATAAGTAATTATTTAATAACCTGTACTATTTTCAGCACTCCATCCACAAGAAGAAGCTCGCCAACATCGAGAAGGGCGTCAAGAATCAGTCATTTGACGCCATCTCACTGCCTCACACCCTCCTCGACCGCCTTCGACACCTGAAATAAATACAAACTTAATTTTATACTAATTTCTATAGGGTGCCCCAAAAATCGCGCTTCTAGCGGTCTTTAGGAGCGCTGGAATTTTTTTGGGCTTACCACTACAGTACCCCCATCACTAGCAACTTCCGGCCCATACCCTTGTTTTTCCCTTCCCGTCCCACAACTACCGTAATCCGAATTTCCCTAGGAAATCTGTATCCCCGCTCTATATCTGGCCGCCACCCTCGTTTCCCTCACATGTGCACGTTTTTTGTACGCCTCCGTACGAATTCCTAATTTCCGTTTGCCCCCCCTCCATATTTTTCTAGATCTCATTCCGTGTGGCTGGTATTCGTTTCAGTGACGGGTCTTTCTTATTGATGTCCGATTCGCCGAATTTTCGACAATAAAGGATTCTGGGAATGAGGAGAAATAATAATTTTGCACCGCTTCATTAAACATGAAATTTACAGAAAAATAGCTATCAAACCATAGCTGGGCAACAACATTAAAGGGCTGGAGAAAAAAGGGCAGGCGTCGGGGTCCGTCGGGGTGGCGGACCGACGGGACGCTACTTTCGACGTAATTTATATTCGGAATTCGTAATTATTATGCAAAGTCCAATTTCGACGCCGGCCCAAGCGAGAAACCCGGAAACGGCCTGTGGATGACCCCCAGGGTCTTTGAGGGATTATCGCCGCGGCGGCTTGGTGTACTGGTTAGCACGCTGGGCTATGGGGCGAACCATCGCTGGTTCAACCCCCACCCGTTGCAAAATTCTTTGCTTTTTTGTCAAATGCATCTTTCTCGACCTCCTTTAATAACATACGTCAAGTCCTTGTCCATAACCTTTCAATTTTTATTAGAGAATTGACGTGAGATAAGGGAAAGATGGTCGAGCAGATTGATCCGGGTCGCAAATCCTTTTTGGTATTCCCGAAAATCCGTCGGGCTACGGATCATCCTCATTTTTTGGGACGTAGATCTACGTGACTCACGGGGGCAAAGCCGATCTTGTGTAAGGCTTCGCTCGGGGAAGCCATCCGTTGATTTCCTGGTCTTGGGGGGAATGGAAAGTGATTTTTCTTAAGAATGGAATGTAGGAGGGCTCGGCTATATTCACATAAATAAATAAATAAAAAAGTTCATAGCAAAAACTAACGAGAAAATTTGTAAACTACGCTAAACGAAGCTAACGACAAATACCGACAATTTGCAGATGTCGCACATTTCCAACGGTTCGCACGGCTTGCACCGGACGGTTTTTTAACTAAACCTTTGTAAAATATTTAGCATCAGTTAAAATAGATATTGAAATAACGTCTAATCTAAGGTATCAGATCATACCTTATAGGCAAATTTAGTAGCTTAAACTCAACTTAGAGGTTATAAACTACAAAGTACCATCAAAATAAAAGCCTTACAACTTTTTAGCGCTAAATATTTTGTTTCTTAGAAAATTACGCCTAACCACAGTAATTGACACGTCGAGGGTATTTAACCGGAAAAACATCAGATATAATTTTTTTGTGCAAAATTTGATTCAACTACCGTACGCCGCCCATAGTAGGTTACTGGAATTTGAAAAATAAGTGAAATAGATAATTGCGTAAGTTCCCCTACCGATTACAGCACACAGCAAATAGTGAAGCGCCCAAAATGTTAAAAAACAATATTAATCAAAGACTGTTTTTTTTGGAAAAATCGGAAAAGGCGCTTCGAGATTTTCAAAATACAATAAAAATAAACAAGAATTCATCACAAATCCCTCACAAATTCTGATTAATGATGTGAATATTGTCTGCTCTATAAATACCAGTGCTTGACATTCCAGTCTTTCTATAGACAAAGTCAATCTCCTGCAGCCAAGAATGTTTTTTGGATGCCGGCTATAATCCTACAGGGTTCACCTTATAAAACCGTCTATAAGCTTTCTGTTTGCAGCTATTTTTACAATTGGTCCCTACCCTTTGATGTCTTTAGCAATAATCCCCCAACTCGGAATCCTGCCCCGAATTAGATGGTCCAACATCACCGTGTTGAGGGTGGTTCGTGTTTTTTAGACGGGTACACAGGGTGCACTAATAATACCGTGGCCCATCGCTAGCCACCAGCTGCACATTGTAGTTGAACACCAAAACAACATTTTTTTTCCAGCAGCTAGTCGGCCGGTCGAGTTCGAGAAATTGAAAACACAAATAATATAGAAAAAAACAGCTTCGCTTAAGTGTTTTTGGTGATCAACTAATCATTATGGACAAAATAGCTTCTAAAAATAAGTTTGGGTTGAAGGTTCAGCCAAAATTGAGTTTACAAGCTAAGCATGAGCCTGAGTTTTGATGAAGCTTAAGCTAAGCGGGAGAGTAAGCAAAAACCTAAGCTCAAGGCTAACAAGGAGTCGTTTTTGGGTGATATTGGAGTTTTTGAACGAGACCTAGCTAGTTCGATAGAGAAAAAAAATTCTGAACAAGTTGTCGTTTTCCAAATCTGCTAACCGTGTACGCTGTTCAATAAAAATTAATTTGAAAATCATTAATCTAACCATCATTTTCCGCCTGTTCCGCAGATTCTGCGCTCTGGGTGCGCGTCAACATAGCCCCCTTTAGGGCTCCCTCCAACCATGACCAGCTGGCCTATTGGTAGTGCGCTTGCTTCATAAGTTTTTGTCTTTTTTTTGCCAGCGGGTTCGACTCCTAGCTAGTAAAACTCTTTGCTTTTTGCTCGATAATGCCAAATTCGATTTCAATGGCCTGAAAAACCAAAAAGCAAAACAATAAATCACAATAAGTTCCGAACCCTGGGCATAATTTTGCAAAAGTTTGATAGGCGCCGGCACTATCCACTAGGCCACGATCTCATGCGGATGCTGGATCGCGCTATGGGCTATGTCCCGGGCCTGATCCATGGGTCGCAGCCTGACGTCCAGGAATTTTTTCATTAAAATTAATTTTTATTGAATACAATACACGGTTAGCAGATTTGGAAAACGACATCTCGTTCAGAATTTTTTTCTCTATCGAACTAGCTAGGTCTCGTTCAAAAACTCCAATATCACCCAAAAACGACTCCTTGTAAGCCTAAGCCTCAGTTCAAAGGAAAGCCAAGCCTAAACCTTGCCTAAGCTTAAGCACAAGCCAAGCCCAAGCTGCATTTTGCTCCCAGCCCAAGCAGCTCCAATACCTTTTTTTTCTAATTTTTGATTGCCTAAAAAGCACTGAAACTGGAAGAGCATTTACGCAGCGCACTCATCTCCGATCGGACCATTGAGAGGCGCTATTTTCGCACGTCCTCCCTTCCACATAAAATCTCTATAAATCTTATCATTTTTCGTCTATTCGTCAGTCGGCGGCCTGTTCAGCCGGGTTTGTGCAAGGAGGAACGTCGCGTATCAAGTCAGAACATTTTTATGCGAATATTCTGCCGCAGAATGAGTCATTCCTTTTAGCTGAACTATGACTAGTGACCAGGGAGTGTAAGAATCGTGTTTGCATACGTATTTCACTCAGTTTCATCATTTTTTGAAGATCTCAATTTGCTTTTAGATGAAAAACACATTTTTTTAAAACTCACGTGGCCACTCCCAAAATTTCTTTGCAGAACAATTTTTGAGGGACAGCGCCCTCCGTGATAAAGTGATAAAATCTATTTTCGCCCGCCGTCCATAGGCGTGCTGTGGAACCTTCTCCGAAACGATACATCACCTTATCTCCCAGAATTCATGGATCGCCGTCGTAAATAACCCAAAACCTCTGGAATTTACAAGGCGGCTGCCCTTCCAAAAAGGGGAGCACGCTGAGAATTCGACACAAGCTACGGGAGAGCTGCTGAATTTTTGGGGCGATTTCGGAGGTACGGTATTTGGGCAGATTTTGACGGCATGTCCTGTACTTTAAGAACAATATCTGCGTAGGTGGCCTGTAGTCGTATTTGACAGCAATTGAGAGATTTGGGGATTTAAATTTGTAAGCTGTTATCGGCTAGTGCGGAATGTGTTTTATTGGTGGTTAAAATAAAACCTGGTTGTAGTGGTATTTGTCTTAATATGACGTTACAGATTATGACACGGCTGGTACCTATAAGAAATTTTGAAAATATCAAATAACGAAAAACTTGAAAAATCAAGGGACTTTATTTGGCTGCGAGATATTGTTTTTTATATCAGTTATTTAGTGATTTTAACAAGATTTTGCATGTAATAGCAGCTTACTTAAATTTTTAATAAAATCGAAGCCTGTGCAATCCGGAAAATATCAGATCTTGCCAAAATCTGCTTTCCCCAAAGGCTCAAAAAAATCGCCAAAAATCATTCCCATCCGGATTTATATTTGTAATGTAATAGAGTGATATGTAAACCCACTTAGCGATCCGAACAAACCCACTTAGCGATCCGAACCGGATTCCCAGTGTTCTAACGGTTTTCAATCCTCAAATCACTCAAAGTTAAGTCTGGCTGATCCGGAAAGGACAATGCTGGCAAAATGCGATGATGGCGCGAATAAAGAACTAGAGAATCGTATTGTGATAATAATATCACCAACGTTATCACAAAAATGGTTTTATAGTGAACTACCAGCCAATGAACGCTATTTATTAAAGCTCTTCAGGTCAAGGTTAGGCAAGCCAATGTCGAAATAGCTACGTCACAAAAGTTTTTGGATTAAAGCGGGCCTGTTGTCAAAATCCGAGTGTACGCTAGGGCAACAATGATTTTTGGGGATTTCATGATTTGATTGCGCGCAATCGGCTTATCGAAAATAGGGTAATGGCGCGGTGCGAAGATGGCACACCTAAGGGCACACGATTCCGGTAAGCCAGACTAGATCTTGGGGGTAACCAGTGAAATATAATGCAAAATTATGTTGACAATGGCATTTCGGGGGATTTTCACAAAAAATTATCTAGAATTTTGATGATGTAAATTGCCGGGGTGAACTTGTCATACGGCAGTGATATATTACTTAAATGCTATCGTCAAAGTCTTTAGTGAGAATGTAATTTGCAAAAATGATAAAAATTTGCTT